ATCGGCTGCTCCCGAGACTGCAGGCTGGGCGTTTCTGGAAAAGCCCGCCAAGGAGATGTATTGGGGAACGTAGTTGCTTGCATAGATTTAGAGGTGGGATTTCTTAATTTTGTATTGGGGAATTGTTACGTATGTCTTCAGACTTGGTTTCATTTTTGACGGGCTGATACTTTGTAACTAATAAACATGTTCTTTGAGGAATTTCCAAGCCTTGGAGTTCTGCTTTATTTGTCTCTGTCTGTCAGAACCTTGGCAGGCACTCTGCTACCTCATGCTGGTTATCAGATGGCATTGAAGGCCGATGGATAGATACCATATTTACAGCAAGAAATCAATATTATTATTATTGCTATGATTTTCTGTCATGAAAGGTCACTGGGGATGGTTTGGTAATGTTAGTTCAACAGAAAGGAAGAGGTGAGTTTTGGTGCTCATTTTTAACAGAACTAAATAAATCAAATTGTCTTGCTTATGATTTAGTATTGTGCCACCAAATTATAATGTGATAAGGAGTAGGAGCAATCAAGCTGTGAAGATTCCGTTGAAGACTTGTACTAAGATTTATTACAATCCTTCCAAAATATTTACTATAATTCAATAATTATTTGGTGATTTCTTTTCTTCAAAATCAATGTTGCCCTGTGCAAACAAGCACGATGTTTAGCAAATAATTTTCTAGTAATTAAATTGCAACAAGTATTTTTTAAAAATTACTTTATACACATTTAATATGAAAAGTTTAAAACCAAATGTCTACTTACTGGGAAAAGTTCAAAAACAAAATTTAAGAAATCCAGTGACCTGTAAATAAAGCCAAGTATATGATATTTGCAGCATGCAAATGAACTTTAACCACATCCCCCAACTAAGAACCAAATATATGCTGACGCACAAACCAAAAAATTGATCAACGAAGTGCTTTAATGGATATTTCATTAAAGTCAGTAATAGTAATCCTTTTGCCCCTCACATCAGAGTCTCTTAATTATCACCTTGTTTTCTCTGTCCTTTCATTCACTGCAAAGAGATACTTCCCATCCACTTATTTGAGCTAAATTTTACTTCATCATTCTTTTCTACAGGTCCTTCCCATGTGCATTTAAATAGAAAACACCTTTTATCTTATTGTTTTGTTATGACTGGTTTGAGGAAACTACTAGGACACAGTGATTCTTTGTGGAAATAGGCTTAGGGATAACCAAATTCTATTGTTTACATGCTGTATTTCATTCCCCAATGGAGAGGTTTGACTTGAGCAAACTGTCAACATAAGCAAAACATAAGCAAGAGTCAAAATTATTAAGGGAAATAAGGGAAAAGCCCGGAGAAGAGAGAGAAAATCGATTAAGAATGAAGTAGCTACTGTGGGAAAAAATAAATGGAAAGCAAGGTTAAGAGGGAGAAAAAGAATGAGAGAGTAATGGGGATTAACTTGAATAAAAGTTGAATGTGTGTATTTCCATTGAAATCTGTCAAATATCACAGACATCAGCAGGGGAATTTTTGGATAATTTGCCGTTGTTATTTTCTTATGAGAACAGTTGAAATGTAATGGCTTGTTTTGGTAAGATAAATCCTGACATGTTATTCGTATGTTTGTACAGCCTCTTCTGCAAGATCACCCTATGAGTTTATCTTTCCAGGACTTCTGTTGGTTTGCCTTTGAAAGAACATTGTAGAGAAAAAGGTACTCTTAGGAAGAAATCTGAATATTTCAAAAGGAAAAATGCCACACTTTGCATTTTGAGTGGTAGTTTAATGCAGGGGTCTTCAAACTCAGCCACTTTATGACTCATGGACTTCAACTCCCAGAATTCCTCAGCCAGGCACACTGCTTTTAAATTAAGAGTGAGCAAGGTTTTTCAAGCTAAGTATTGCAGTTGATTGTAGAGAAGCAGGTAAAGGAGTGCCCTCTCAAAAGTGGTTGGGGCCAAAAGAATAATTGTTCATGACTCAATTAAAAGAAAAATTAGATTAAAATAATTTAAATTAATTTAAATTAACTGTAAATTAAATTAAAATTAAAATTAAATTAAATTTGAAATGAAGTATAGTTAGGACAATGTTAGATGACAATCTCTAATTGATGGGACCTAGAACATGCCTCTCTTATCTGATCTAATGAGATGGTAGACACCCTGGCCCCATATCATGAATGGCTTTTTAGATGATAATTATCACTTTCAACTATATCCAGGAACAAATTTGGAACCAGTGCAGTTTGTGGAGCAGATGTGTAACAAAAAGCCTCCCATAATTGCCCAGATTATTGCATTCTGGAAATAACTGAAGCTTCTGGATGTTCTTTAGGGATAGCCGTATGTAGAGTGCCTTGCATTAATTTACTCAGAAGGTGACCAAAGCATAAATTATTATATACTGTACCACTTAATCCAGGAAGAAGCATAAGAGGTGCATAACATTAAGCTGTGCAAAGGTCCCCCCAGGCCATGGCTGCTGTTCAAACAGGAACTGTGCATTGAGGAGGACACGAAAGTTGCATATTGGTTTTGTCTTGAGTAGTGCAGCCCCATCCAGAACTATGGAGGGGAAATCAGCAGAACCAGGAGGCCCTGATACCCAAAGCCACAGTCTCTTGCTAGAGTTGATCTAAAGCCTTTTCATCCTATACAGATGCTGTTCATTCCCATTAGGACCCCTATGGCCTCTAGGCACTAAAACCCAATCTCTTCAATGTCATTTGGCTGTCTGGAGACAGAGACATAAAACTGAATGTCATAGTACATTGATGATACCTCACCCCATGCCATTGAATGACCTCACCCAGAGTTTTCATGTAGATCAGGGGTGTCAAACTGCCGGCCTGTGGGCCGGATGCATCATAACAAAACCGCACCCACCCCATTGCCAGCAATGGCAAAAAAGTTGCGATATGTCGCGACATGTCATGTGACATTGCGAGTTTGACACCCCTGATGTAGATGGTAGTGGAGAGTGAGTCAAGCCCTGAGGGACCCCATATGAAAGGCCATGGGCAGACTTCTCCTGTCATCCATCAGCCTTTTGAGGTAGACCAAATAGAAAGCCAAAGGTATAAATGCAGCTACTACTTTCACTATATGATTACAATACACAATCTTGCATATATGAATATGCATCTCCTCTCACTCTTTATCTTTGTGAGAACGAGGGAGGGTCAAGTCTAAAATACTTTCTCAAACAACATTTTTGCTTTGCATTCAAATTTATTTTATCTGATGTTATGTTGGTTGTGGTTCTTCCTGTTCCTCAGGCTTATTCACATAACCTCTTATATCATCACACTGACTGGAACTGACCCTAGAAATGGAAGGAAATACCAGCATAATACTATGCCCCAACTCTAGCCAGGGAATCAGATGGATATCATGGTCAATGGTATCAATGTCATCACATAAAAGCCACAAATTAAGTGAGTAGGCACAAATTCTGTACATCATAGTGACATTTGTTTGATGATGTCTCTGTCCATATATCATTATTTTGTTGACATCACAATTTGCTGCACACATTCCTGAACAGGGGTCTAGGAGCTACAGACAAGTTATCCTGACTCTTTTTTTTCAGAATGAAAATGTCAGTTAATTTCTGAAATTTTCCACTTGCCTCCCCCGTTATCTTTTTCACCTCCACCGCCCCTTGTCAGAGAACTGCAGAACTTGGTCTCCGCAATGACTGAGATGTTTCAATCGTTTGATGTTAAATTTCAAAATAGATGTGATCAAGTGATGCTACAACAACAGGACTTATTACAACAACAAGATTTATCACAGAAACAGGAGGGTTTTTGCTTGAATGCTACAATTGCTTCTCAAGACCTGGTTGAACAAGTGGATGCGGTGGTAGTTGATGAAAGCTATCCACACCCTGAAGGGGCCATATTAGAACCTTACATTGACTTTTTAAAAACGAACAAAATTGTGGAACAAGGAATAATAGAAGAGAGACTGAGTAACCCTGAACAGGCTTTTATATATCAAGAT